GCTTCCTATAACTGGATCTGTGCTATACACAAATCAATCAGAAAGGGATGCCTTCTGAGTCACTGGCACATGACTCTAGCGTGTATTACATCAGATGAGAGAAATGAGCAAACGCTCCAGAAAACAGGTGTTCTGGAGACTGGATTTCATTTGTAGCATAATTCATTGGTATTAACACTGTGTCCTGGTTGCATTTCCCTGAACAGTGGTACAGAACTCTCAAAGATAGGGGAGATCCAAAGGCTGTTTATTGTCCCCCAAGCACACTCTGGTGGGGCTTTCGCCTCTCTAGGGCACCAGCCTACATGTTTCAAGGTGATGGAGTGCTACTATAATAGAGCATTGATGGGTTAGCAGAGCAAGTGCCTGCAGGCCTCCTGCTGCTCCCACTTGACACAGACTCAGGCTGATGGACTTTTTGTCCTAGTTAGGAAGAGCTGAGAAATGAACTTCCTTCTTGGTCAGATGATATTTTTCACAGCAGTTTGCTAAATGTGTCCGCAAGTGTAGCTGTCTTCCTAGGGGGAGAGACCTGCTGACCATTTGAGGATTTTATGGCTTTATGGGATGGTGCGAGAAATGTCTTTATGGGTTGGTGCGAGAAATGTCATTTGTCTGGGAGTTTCTTGGGAGATTTGGGTTGCAGGGTGCATTAGAACTACCCAGAATGTCTCTTGAGAGTCCCTGGGTGACTCTCCATGGTGCTGATTGCCCCTTGTGCTACCTGAATCCCCGAGGACTCTAACCCGCCTCTCCAGAGGCTCTGCACCTTTTTCCATTTTTGTTTTTGTTTTTTGTTTTTTTCCTTCCTGTCCTGTGAAGGCATTGCGGGGCTTACTTTATTACTGAAAACATATAGACCTCATTGATGGTTCGCAACTTACTTGGTGGATTTTGTGCACTGTTGATAGTCCTGGCAATATTTTTGTCTTTGAAAGTCAGGAGAATTTTGTGCATTGCTTTTTGCTCACAGTTATTCTATCCCAACCACATCCGCTAAGGGGAGCCTCTGATGAGCAAGAAAAAGTTACATTTCCTCGCATGAACTAGGTCTGGCTCCTTTGCCAGGCCTGGAGGCCTCTACTTCACTTTGATGTATGTCTGGGAGCCCTGAATTTGTAATTCGTCCAGGATTGTACAGGTTCTTCTGTGTAGAGCAAAGGTAATGAGGGTTAGAAGAATTCTCTCCTGCCTTACAATGGGGCAGAATTGGTTAGTTCGTCTCCCCTAAGCAAAATCCATTTCCTTGGGCAGGAAAGCACTGTGCACCATGCAGGTTTTGGAATGTCTGCTTACTTGCTGTGTTGGATTTGGCCAGGCCACTTAATCTTTCTGTGCCTCAGGTGTCCTCGTCTGTAAAATGGGGACAATTCTAGTCTTTCACAATTTCTGGGACCACCCAGTGAGATCGAGTCTAGAAAGCACCTAACCCAGTGCCGGATAGGGAGCAGCTGTGATGCCCCTTCTTCCCAACAAAACTCCCAGTTCACTCTGCAAAGCACCCAATTCAAGCTACTTGAATTTCCGGCATCCCGCAGGAACCTTGGGTAATGTCTAAAAATAGCTTGTTTGAATTCTCCTCGGACAGTTAGGCTCTTTGTGTGATTCAGTCTCTCTCTGATTGTAGGTAGCTCAGTGGCCCTGAGCAGCTCCCAGCTTGCTGCCTTCCCTCTTCCCCAGCGTCTTTAATGCGGCAGAGCTTGGCCTAATTACCCAGGGGGTAGTGGCTTCTTTCAAGCCAAGGAGAACTCTTCCATACCTGCCTCTAAGCTGATGCCTGGTGACATTTACCTCATTTGTGTGGAGCTCCGGAACAAAGAGATGCTAGGACTTCAGAGCTGCTGACAGCTGGTTCTGGGCTGTTCTCTGAGTGCCCCCAGCAAAGGGAGTGGATGAACAGTCACTCTGCCTGCCTCTTGCTCGTAAAAAGCCCAAGCTGCTGAGGTCACGCTCTGTCCCAGTGAGCCTGGCCACA